TATTTATTTATTTATTTATTTATTTATTTATAATTTTTTTTTCAACGTTTATTTATTTTTGGGACAGAGAGAGACAGAGCATGAACGGGGGAGGGGCAGAGAGAGAGGGAGACACAGAATGGGAAACAGGCTCCAGGCTCTGAGCCATCAGCCCAGAGCCCGATGCGGGGCTCGAACTCACGGACCGCGAGGTCGTGACCTGGCTGAAGTGGGTGGCTTAACCGACTGCGCCACCCAGGCGCCCCCATATTCTTTTTTAATACATAGGTCCAAAACATGTTTTGTTAGAACGGTGATTAACAACATCCTTACTATATACGAAGCACTCACACTGCTAATGAAACAAAACAAACACCGAGGCCCAAGGATAAACGGGCCAGGAACACAAACAAAACCCCCCACGTGCAGCAGGAGGCACACCTGCACACGCACGATGCACACTCACACGTGCTGGGGAAGGTGTCGGGCACTGAGATGTTTTCTCTGAATACCTGGGACAGGGGGTCCAGAAGGCCCTGAAAAGGTACCCAAGCCAGGCTGGGGGGCGGGGCTGCAGAGGCCCTTCCTTGTGAGGCAGTTCAAGGAAAAGCCACTTTCAGAGCTAGAGCAAGCGAAGCACCTTGGGCAGGAATCCAGGAGGATTTCCTGGATGTGGAATGAGCCCAGGCCCCAGCCTGGCTGGAGCAGGGCTAACCCAGTGTGGAAATTTCTTACGGACACTGTTAGGGACGGAATTGTGTCTTCCTAAAATTCGTGTGTGTGGGCCCTAACTCCCAATGTGACTCTACGTGGAGATGGGCCTTTAAGGAGGTAGTTGAGGTTAAGTGAGCATAGAAGGGTGGGGCCCAGATCCCACAGGAATGGTGCCCTTGTAAGGAGAGGAACAGAGCCCAGCCTCTGTATGAGGGCAGAGAAGAGAAGGTGGCCTTCCACAAGCCAGGGGGAGAGTTCTCTCCAGAAATCACCCCTGATGGCACCTTGGTCTTGGACTTCTGGTCTCCAGAGCCGTTAAGCCCCCGGACTGTAGTATCTTGTTACAGCAACACATTGGGCTCGGGACATGCCACTGTGCACATCCTCACTTTCAGCAAGGACACCCCACCTGCCACTGCCCTGGGGACAACACCTCAGTTAATGACAGCTGCACATCAGGCCCCAAACGTACATGAAAAACAGATCCATCTCTAATTATATCATAGTTCAAATGCATGCCAATGTTATATCATGAGCCCTGATTTACAAGATTCATTACAAAGGCTTTTGTAAAAAAAAAAAAAAAAAAAAAAAAGGCAACACGATCTGCTGCAAGGGTTTATTATATTTAGAAGTCTACAAATTTGATCTTTTAAGAAAAATTCACAAAATATTCAGTTGAAACCACATTTCTGGTTCATCAGATTTCAAATATATTTTACTGTGCTGAACAATATATTCTAACGCTGTCTAAAACACAGCCAAATTATTTTTCTTTATTCATTTATACACATTCTGTAATTTTTTGAAAACCAAGATTAAGATAAAAAATATTAACAAAACTACCCAGTTACAACTACTGTTCTCCCCTGTACTGAGATATTTCCCGTGGGTCTGTCTTCTTACCTTATTCATTTTAAATTCTGTCCACTATGTCGGTTCGTAAACACGCTCAGGAGATTCTCAGCTGACATCTCCCATAAATTCAAACAGCAACACCGTGTCAGAAGATTAATTCCCTTGGCAATGCAGAAGCTTAGCCTTGTTAAAAGTGCTCACTGTAAATTATTTTTGAATTTATAGATCATACAAAGGGACAGACGGCTTTAAACATTATTTTGAAATCACTGTAACATGTGGAAATACAAATGAAGCAACCTGCCAAATTAGACATTTTTGGTCTGTTGTTTTTATTCCTTGCTCCCTTTTGAATGAAACGTGTGTTGGTGAATTTGGTTTCTCCGGGCCCCTGGAGCATCACTGCTTGGGGTAGCCCTTAGCCCACAGGTCACACGGCACTGAGACCCCCCTCCCCCAGTCCCGGAACGAAGGCTCTCAGCCCCCAGAGGTGGGAGAAGCCCTTGTCTCCAGACCCCCAGCTGCTGGAACCAGATTCCACACAAATAAAGCAAGGCTACACTCAGATATGCCCAAAGGAGCGCATGGGCAGGAAGGAACGCAAAACAGAAATTACAATAAAGCTTCTACTACATCAAAAATGAGAATTTCTCAAAGGAAATATTAGAAATCAGGAATGCATGTATACCATGTGAAAAAGCAGCAGAAAAATCTGCAAAACTGTCCGGTCTTCACTGCGGTCTGCGACGTGCTCACTGGTTCACGTCAAGAGGCCTTTCTGGAAACGCGCGACCCCGCGTGGGTGCTAAGAACCGTAGCGATCCTGGCGAGAGAGAAGCAAGACGCACGTTTGCTCGCGCTCAGCGCCGGTTTCTCCCTCTCACGCGCACCGAACGCTCAGCGTTCCCAAACTGACATCGCAGTGAACACAGAGCACCGACTGTCTGTCTGGCATCTGGAACGTACGCCGCCCCCCCACCCCCATCCCCTCAAAGAGCCCAGTAACTGGAAGGGGCGTGGCCACAGCCGGGGCTTCCTGATGCCGAGGTCTGCGTGGGGCCGTGGACAGGAGGACATCCTGTCCCTGAGCCCCGCGGCCACCTGCGGCTCCCGCGCTGTGGGAGGGTCTGGGGGGAGGGGCGCAAAGCATCTGGGGGGTGGGGGTGGGGAGCCAAGTGGGGAGCCTCTCTCTGGGAGGCAGGTGTAGCACACGTGGAGTCTGAACCCTGAAATTCTGGCTCAGCTGAGCGATCCTGCAGAAGCAACTTAACCTCCGTACCTCCGATTCTGCATCTATAAAATAAAGGGGGATGACCTTCCTAAAATGTGGATGTCACCTACGTGGAAGGACTGATGGGGGCTCAGCTGACCTCAGGGACATGAAAAGAGCCCCGTGAATTCTAACCAGAGGTTGTTCTCAACAGCAGCCAAGACAGCAGGAACCTCTGGGCGGAAGGGATTCTCTTCAGTGGGGGCCGCCCCCCCCCCAAGTGGGGAAGCCCCTTCAGAGGCACCGGAGGCCGCACTGATTAGGTCCCACCGCCCGTGGCCACGTTTTCGCATTAGTAGCAGCATCCTAGAACAACAGGACGTACACCAGAAGGTTCACGAAATAAGCCTTAAGAGATGGCCTTCCGCTGTGGTACGCGAGGATGCCCCATCCTTGCCTTACTTCGGAGACCGAAATACCACGTAAATCCCCAAATTAGGGAAGAGTTAAAGAAATGTTCTGCATTTTCGCTCAACAGAAGGTAGCTTCTGAAGAATTACACAGAAATGCTCATAGCAGAGCACCACGGAGAATGTCAAATCATCTGTACAGCCTAATCCTTTTGAGTTCTAAGAAGATGTGCATAGAAATCAAGAACTAAAATAAAATATGCCGAAACAGTAACAGAAGCTGTCCTTGGGATCATGGGCAGTTTTTATTTTCTTCTTCCTGTTTCTCTGTTCCAACACAGGAAAGAAGCGCAGCATACGATCAATTCCTGTAACAATTCCTCTAGAGTCATCAACGAGAACATTTAAGCAAAGATAAAAGCCCAGTTTCTGGTTTTCATGACGCCCCGGGTTACACCGTAGCAAATATATAAATCAACAACAGGAAATCGAATTTGCCAGCAGGTGAAGAGCGGTCCAATTTGCGTTTTCCACGCCGGAGCCACCACCCCACTCCGTTCCTGTCACCCCCGGGGCACTGACCTGAATGGAAGTCATGACACCGTTAGCGAAGACCGAGAGCTTTCCAGCAACGGATCGCACTCCCTGCTTAAACTGGGCCATGTCAGGCGCAGTGGGCAGCACGCTCGTGAGGTTGTAGCTTCCTGCACACAGAACAGATGCCGTTTGTCACTGGACCGTGGCGACAGGCGGCACAACCGGTGCCCAGGGCACTCCATGACCTTAGAGGGCACAGAATCCCCTCCCCTCCCGCTTCCCGCTTCCCGCAAGCAGCAGCTGGGGCGAAGGGAGAAGAACCTTGCGGTGGGGTCAGGACCCTGTTTCAGTGCCAGCCCCACCCTGAACTAGCTGTAAGACACCGTACGAGAGCAGATGTCGTATTGGGTCTTGGGACCACCAGGGGTTCAAATACTGGCACTGTCTCTTCTAAGCTGTGTGTCTTTGGGGAGCTTTCTCACCCTCTCTGGGCTCCTGGTTCCTCCTCTGAACACAAGATCTGACAGGTAAATACTCAGTAAATGGCAGATGGGCGGACATCTCTAGGTTTTGAGTGCTCAACATCCCCCCCCCCCC